GGTATGTATCTTGATATGAATGCAAGATATACAAAGGTGACTCAGTATATGTGTGTCTCATTAACAATTGGCCCCTTCAACAATCTTCTTGTGGGACGTGGTAAATTCATTAAAGACCATATCACTGAGTTACAAAGTTAGATCAATACAAAGCCCTCAAATCTGCTGTTTTTACATCCTGCAGGAAGTATAGTGGTTACATTTGATGCAACAGGCTCAACAGATGACTTGGATAATACTCTTATTGTAATGTGGGAGGATGTGAAAAATGGACTGATATTAAAGTTCAATGGGACTGAATTGGTGTCTACGGAAAGCATGTTAGTCGATGGAGAGGATTTCTATGGCAATGATTCAGAGGTAAATATTACCATCAATGCTTGTGTTATATTTCAGATTGAAAAGTATTTGGTGGTATAATTTTGAACCAATGTCTGTGCGAAGACACTTTTCAACAAACATTAAACCAGTATTAAGATCCAGCAGAAATGCAGTAATGTGCGAAGCCATTTAGAAAAATCTTTTACCACAGCAACTGTCAGTTGAAAAAAACATTTCTCAATAACTTTATAGTTTTTCTTTTGCTATTATTATGTTTATTGACAAATTATATGGTAACCAAAAACAATACCATACATATTAAATTATTGGAATTTTGACAAATATAATTTGTTTAGCACTTGCTGTAGACTCTGACTTGTGTTCTAATTGAAGTTTTTTCTCTTCCTTTCTAGACTTTATCAGAATCTTATGTATTGGTCATTATTTTATCTAGTGTGTTTGGTTTTATAGCCGTTTGTGTTATTGGTGTTTGTATCTATCTTATCTACAAGAAACAACACTCAGGTATGTTTAACATTTCACTGAAAGGCATAGAAATGATAAATTAACGCAGAATAGTGGGACCATTTATTGTAGGTGTTGTCTGTTGGCACACTTGCATGAATGACCAACGTGTGTTACTTGTATGGATGAAAATTAGTTTTATTATCTCCTGGCAGGCTGTCGGCAAGGGATATAATACAAGTCTCAGCATATGAGTTAGAGCGGGTATGGGACTAGAGTAATAGATGAATAGCATATATACATTACACGTCAAAAGTATTGTCGAGATGCCCAAGATTTGAAAAACCTGTAATTTTCTTACCAAAATGACAATCAATTGTATGTAGATGCACAATATAATAAATCTAACCATTGCCATTATTTTGCACCATCACTCGATCGTACGAACACGAAAATCTTGATTTTTTTTCCACCATTGTTTTGCTATGCCGTGTCATCTCATTAGCATGAAATTTAATGATAGTGTTTAATGTTGTAATTTTCCCGCCCATTTTATAAATATTCTTGATATGGTGAATCAATATCTTGATTCTAGCACGATCCAATCAAGGTCAAAGGGCAGGAATTTCTTTGTAAGCAACTAGCTGTCACTCTGTTTTACATAACTTGGCTTTGATAGCTCTGCCTATTTTGTAAATTTACGTTTTGAATATGCTTCACGAGCCTTACAGATTTCTAATTTTTCGAAGGGTCACTTGTTAGCACAGCATACTTCGGGAAGTAATAATTGTTCAATAGTTCGTTCTTTGGAGATTTCTGAACATTGTGTTCGTTACAACCTGGGAAAAATGGAATATATGGAAATATGGCGAATTTACCAAGATCTGGCTGACCAAGAAGGACAATTTTGCAGATCAGTATGCATGAACGGTTCAAAACAGCATGAAGAATACGCAATGAATAGGAAAAATATTAGTGTTTCCACTGTGCACCAACGTTTATGTGAAGTGAATATGAACGCATACACACACAAAAACAATGTATGTGGCGAAGAAAAAACCTCTACTGGTCTGTGGACTTACGAGGATTGAAGTTGAGTCCTGATTTCCCGATAGAAAACCTGTGGGACCAAATTGGGAGTGCTGTACACAGGTGTCATGTGACAAAGTTATCCAAGCTGTACACAGCAGTAAATTTGAAAATGTACCATTAGTAAAACGACAGAAACTTGTCAGATCGATGCCATCAAGGATGCCATCATTCGAAACATCGGTGGAGCTACTCCATACTGAATTTGTAATAGGCGAGCAACGCACACATGTTTTGGTGTTCATTTACTTGATTCATTGATCTCTTATGTCACTTTACATGGGAAACCCCATAAATGCATAGGTGTGTGTTGGAAGCAATACTATTTCTTATATATTGTTTGCAAAAATTAGTATAAAATTTGTGTCTTGACAATACTTTTGACATGTAGTGTATGAGGACTATTATATATACATGGGACTTAGGTAATAACATATTTTTTAATTAAAGATGTCACTAGAAGTGCAAAGCAAATTTTTGCAAAACATGTTAAATCTGCATTTCTATTTTTGTGGCTATGTTGAATGAATGTAATTCAATTAATGTAAATATGTAATTTGATTACGAAATGCATTTTGTGCAGTACTTTTTCAACTTCTTTTTGAAAACTACAAGCATGAATGCTTGGGTATGCCTCTCTTAAATTTGTTCATTTCATGATGATATCTTCAATGCTCTAATTTTGGGGAATATTTCTGTAATTTTTGGTAAAAAGTGATATTTTCGACTTCTTATTATAAAAAACCACACGTGCAATTGCTTTGATATTACATATATAGGGACTACATGTGGACCTCTCTCAGATATCTTTAATTCTATAATTTAAGTGAATATTTTGTAATTTTTGGTAAAAAGTGATATTTTCGACTTCTTGTTGAAAATAGCAAGTCCAATCGCTTTGATACTATACATATTGTTCATTTTCTAATGCTGAATGATGGCCATTTTAAGGCCGAAAATGCATCAAAATCACGTATTTTCACAATTCCGGAATTTGGATTTTGGATGGATTTTATTAAGATTTAGTACAATGTGTTGTACATATGCAGGTGCATTTCGGTCATGATCTGCTTTGAATGTATATGTCACTCAAATATGAACGGAACGGGGACGTGTCATTGACAATGACTTGTATTTGTTTATCTTGTGTGAACAGGCAAAGATGTGGTGCAGGCTGAATCAATCCCAATAACAGATAAATTCCCAGAAAAAAGAACAATTTCCGAAAGATTACTAGGGGATAATACCAGTGATTGTAGTAGTGAGTCTGGTATAGCATCAAGTACGCCTGGAACACCACATGTTAAAATCAATGGACAGAAGTTTACGTTTGAGTAAGTAAACGACTCTTTCTCGAGCATTGCTCTCAACACTAATTAAAACCTTGAACAACGAACAAATTTTTTTAGATGGTTCTTGATTTCTGTTCATTTTATCTCATACTGATTTTTTAGAAGAAGCAAAGAAATCAATTTTATTCCATATTCTACCAACAGAAATGTGATGACTTTATTATGGAACAAAAATAAACCACATCGCTCACCAAATTTGCACCTGAAATAGAAGATGACCACTTTAAAATGAGTGGGTGTGATAAGAACATGTCAGTGCTGAAGCTTTTCATACCCTAAAACACTAACTGACATCTGAAACTGATTGTGATTATGTTACAGATTTACCCAAGAAGATTTGGACAATATGAACATATCAAGCAGACCAGTCAGTGCCATGTCAGCACGAACTGGTTTCAACACACCAATCAGATCTCCAACTATCATAATGGTCTCACTACCACCTGGTTCCGCCACGCCCTCTTGTAATCAAGAAACTGGTAAGTTTCAATACATGCAGATGTGTCTGTTGGTTCATACTGATCTTGTTCTACAAAGACTGTTATAGTTGTCTCTGATTCCATATAAATTCTGTTTTATTTGGATTATAACCAATTTATGTCCCAGTCACCTATCTCAGCAAAAAATATACGCCTGTCTAGGTCAAGTGGACAGACAGTAATTTTTCTTCTAATCACCTGTCTCAGTTTAAATCTGCCTGTCTGAATCGGGGGGACATTGTCAATGGCTTTGTTTTTGTTAGGTGAAAAAATTTGGTCTGGTCCCAATTACTGTTGTTGAGAAATATTAAATTTACTTTTCTCGATGAAAGGTATTCATACTAGTAAAGTTGACAGCATTGTGTATTAATATTTTCTTCATTTTCCAGAACTGAATGTGGAAGAAAGCATGACTGTTATTGCAATGAATGGTGATCGCTCCTTCAGTGGACTTGGCAATGTGGTGGTGAATTTGTCTGGCAGTATGGACAGATTGAGGAAGGAACTTGTCAAAGCATTGCCCAGCAAACTGAAAGGAAAGCCGTTTGTGTTTCTGCAAGAAACTTTGAATATTCTGGAAACTGTGAAAGAGAGGAAAGTTGTTGTATCAGAGATCTACAGAGGTGACTGTATTATGCTGAAGATACTACCTGATTCTGGTGAGTCCTTGTAATGGCATAAAACTTAGCACTACTTACATGGTTAATTACATTGGGTGCTTTATAGTGGCACAAACCTTACCACTTCTTATTCTGTTTCTCGATATGGAAATAATTTTTCCAAATAAGGTAGTATGCTTTATAGTTGCACAAGCTTTACCACTCCTTATATAAAATTACATATTATTAATTTAAAAGCAATGTCGGGTGCTTTGTAGTTGCACAAACTTTACCACTCGATATATGGAAATTACATTTTTAAGTAAGGTAGGGTGCTCCATCTATTAATCAATCAAAATTCCCCTGTAATAATAATATGGCTGTAGGGATAATAATTCCACTGTGTGGGTAGGGTTGCGTAATTTTTCCTGAGTTCAATCAATTATGTACTATGCACTTACACAATGAAAATAAAACTTGTTGCTGTTTGAATTTATGATGTAATTTGTTCTCACAATTTGTTTTTCAGCTGCTGAACGTTTCTTCTGCCGTTGTGGTGCTGTATCTCATTTAGAATGCACATTGTGTGGAAAGCAGTCATATTGCAGTGCACAATGCCAGAGTGCTGATTGGTCTCAACACATGCTAGTATGCCTGAAGGCTGATAATAAACTTCTCTTACCATGATACATATGGCGCAAATGATGTTCAGTTCTTGTACTTAGACACCTATCACATAATGCTGTATACTTAATATATGTCTAACCCGAGCCCTGTAAACAAGAAACTTGTTTAAACTGAACTCTCCTTGAATATGACTTTAAACGAATCCTGCAACAAAAAACACTGAATCATATTTAAATGAAGCCATGAAATTATAACTAGAAAAATGTCAAAAGCAAACCTCTTTTCTTATGCCATAGTCTGCTTTTATAGAAACCTTCTGTATTAGAACAAAACCATGTGCCTTCTATTCAAATAATATTATTTGAATGATCTACATTTGTATATCTTTCCACCTTTCATCATGGTTTCCATGAATTGCTTTTTCTGGGAAGTATGGTCTGTAAAACATAGTTGCAAATTCTTGAATACATCACCAATTTGAATATTAGGCCGTTGAACATTTATTATTTTTTAATATGTTTAAACCCCAAGCCATTTTTAACCAAAACCCTTGGAATATATACAGACTGCTATTCCTAAATTATATCCTAAAACTATAATCCTGAAATATTGCATATATCCAATATTATAGTTATCACCATAGTATTACATAGTATTAGGTAAACTGCTAGCTAAATTGCTGTATTGGTATTGATTGTTTATAAACACGTAATCCCATTGCAACAAAGTCAGTTCCTCCAGACATTGTTGCACCTCATATGTTACCACAATAAATCCAAACTTGTAGACATGTTGACTCAAGGTCAATTGTGAGACTTGAATATAAAATCTCTACCTATATAAAATATTCAAGAGATAATTAAGGTATTCAATTACTGGAGTAACTTTGTCAGATGTGTGTTACAGGATCAATAAACTTAAGATGTGTATATATTTGGAGTGTGTAATTTTTTGGTTTTTATACAATTATAGATTGTTATTTGCATAATAAAGATTGATTCATCAGAACACGTGATTGAATTAGTATGTGTAGGGTGGGGAAAAAGTCTCATTTTCACAACTTTATTTTGTATGTGCCACTGCAAAGTCATCCCACTTTAAAGAAAGTGAAAGTCAAAGAAGGCCCTTGGGGAGTAAATTTTGTTTATATCATTACTAGACAATTACTACCATTATTTGGTTGTGGTGTGTGTTAATTAAATGTTGCATTGAATATACAAATGTTCACCCTAAATAGCTCATTGTCAACCGAGGTGAAGCCAAGGTTGATAATGGGCTCTGAGGTTCTCTAAAACTATGTCCACCACTGCTGGGGTGAACATTTGTATTATTATACCAAATAAATCTTAAAACAAGACATTGTGGCACTCAATCATGGCAATTTTCCAGGTCGCACTCGTAGAGCTGAATTCATGTATGCATACAAATATACAAGTTGAAAGAGTTAAAGAGCAGTAAATTTATCAATGATGCCTTTTTACTTCTATGGTTGTGTTGATAAACCTAATTTTAGCAGCTTCTGCCTGCCAAAGTATTTTTACAAACACACCCTGTGCATAGCTATATGCCACGCTGTGTTCCAGTTGGCATTATAACACTGAAATGAGCTGCAAACCATTTCAACAAATGCACTATACATAATATGTCGATATACTGACAAAATTAAGTGGTGGTATCACATGAAATTTTGTCTTTGTGCCCCTGAACTGGCACGAATTGCTAATGAAACGGTATGTATGGTTGGAACATTAAATGAAAAATAGAACTGTACACCACTGCCAAAATCAGTCTAGTTTGACAAGAAAGAGCAACCAATACCTCGCCTGACTCTTAGACCATGCAATATCTTCGCATCAGATTAAACACATGTTTAGCTCATGACTAGAGAGATTATTCCGAAACCGCTAAAAGAAAATAGTAGTATGTGGATTATCTGCAATGAAGAAATTGTTTGATGAAAGAATATGTGGGAAAGCTAATCCCTGGGACAGAATGACAAAATTTAATACTCTTATGAAATTCTTCAACAAGGAAATTACACTTTAGATTATAACTTAAAGCTACAAATGTTATGTCCAGGCAACTCATTGTTGCCAGTACATCCCGTAAAATAGACTTGGAGGATAATTGGAAAGTACGAGTTTTCACTTATCAATCATTAATGGAACCAAATGGGTCAGTTCTTCCATACTTAAATAAAACAAAAACTAGAGGACCCACCAATACAAAATCTAAAGTCAACAGACTCTACAAATGATCATTCAGATATGTGGATCAAAGTCGATGGTATGGCAGTTGTGCAAGAACTTATAAAGCCTGCAAATCACCATAGAAAATGTCTATATATCACTTATAGAGACTCGTGTTTGACGATTATTCTATAAAGGGTTCCTTAATAGAATAAACACAGGTACAACAAGAATATGTCAAAATACTTGTCAGAAGATGCTACTAGCAAGTACTACAACAAAAGATTCAACACTTTATCTGACACAGAAATTATTAGACAACTCTAAAGTAAGTGTCATAACCACCACACGTAACAATTATCAGTTCTCAGGGGATAGATGCAACTCCTCGGCTCACAGAAAGAAGCTACAATAATGACCTTACATGCATGGGTATACAGTACACATTCACAAAGAGAACACTGATGTGTTATTCGTTCTGAGACGCACACCTTTTATAATAATACTTGGTGTAAAAGCAGCCAATGATGAGCACAGGTAGAGCCTGGTCATACCAAGGGTGAATCAAAGAATTCTAGTCATGAAAGATTCCCACAGGCAAAGCCCAGTGTAATCAGTGCCATTTCTGCTCTAGGAACTGGATTGAAATCTTCCACTGACAATATTAAAGCATGTATATCGTACTTGTGTGGTCGTTTTGAGTAAGAAGAGTCTCAACATTACATAACCACACATACTCATGTGAACTTTAAGCAATAGGGTACTAATGAAGACATTTATCAACTACCTCTAACACGTGGGACATGTATAGAGCGCATTCAAAGATCTCAGTACCAATGTGCTTTAAGGAGCAAGATCATGTTCTTCATCAAATTCTTCCAAACCCACTGAAACTAGGCTGGATGAAAGAGGTAGGTATGAATAGGTAAACAAGCAGGTTTGTACAACCCTATTAGTTTGCGGTATTCTCGCAATAACCTCAATATACTTTTTTGTCATAATTTAGAAATATACTTGACAGGTATAAACTAATAATGTGTCCACTGCCCATAGAATGTGGGTTGTAGCTGATGGCACAAAAACGAAAATCAATAGATCAATTTACCTCAAATCACGGTTTTCCTTCACTTGTTGCCTCACAATAAATGCTCGTTATGTACATGCAACATGTGCGTGGTTATTCAATCGAATTTAGTTCTAAACTAATTGCATATACAATGGGGGGTAAAAGACAGAAGGAGTTACAACTGGTTTAAGATCAAAGTTACATCATTTCCGCCGTTTACTCAGTAATTATAATGTTTGCTTGCTAATCTAGCAGCAAACAACAAAATATCTACGAAATGAAATTATTTCAACTTTATTATTCAATGTCTGTTTAATACTAATTCACACATTAAAAACGAGTGTTACACTTCCACTAGCCATCACACGCTCGAAGATCATTGCAACCATTTCGCCAAGTGAAAAATACGGAAAACAATGTATCGGTATTTAGGCTCCGGCAACATTAGATATATACAGAGCACATCAATGTGAAGATTTTTTGAAAAAAACTCGCTGAAATCTAACTTTCAATCATGGTACACTGACCATATTTTCAAGGGGCTGCAGACGAGAGCTGATACTTCGGATGTTAGTATTACGGACGTACTTCGGGAGACCACTGGAATATTCAGAAACTGTCTGGCCAATTAGTCGATGGTCAAAAACAATTCAAACTAAGAAACGCCTGTTGTTGGTTCCACTGCCAATGGTCCCAAACCATCCTCTCTGTCCCGTGGCTATTGGTCCTCTTCAGTACCCCTGAGAACCCAGCTTTCTGCTACCTCCCTCCCCACCTAGTCACTGCCCCTCTTTTTATCAAGCGCCTTGTCTCCTTGTTGACACCTTTAGTGTCTGACATTTTTGCAATTTCCCACCCACAGCTTTCATCGGGGAGGGGCCTCATGGGCATTACAGTCTGGTATCCTATCTGAGCTCATAAAATTGTCAGGTGATTGGAAAAGTGATGCTTTCTGTATAAACATCTCCACCACTCTTTTCCACTCCGTCTTGAGACATCACAGCGCTTTAATTTGCATCCAACCTTCCTACTGACTAATGGTGTTTGGGTATTTTGGGGAATTTTATTCGTAGTGTTTTTCGGTTTGTAGTACATACAGCAGTAACCAGTTGTCTTCCCATGGCTCAGCTATGCCAGTGATTTGAATATCACCTTTGAACTGTCGCCTTTGACATGTCCACCACTAGTTGTCAAAAGGGCAGACCACTGATCTCATCAGTAGTAGTTAATTGTAAGTTTTAGATTAGTAATAAATACCTCCCTACTGTACCCAAACACCGTCTCTGTTTGAGTGCTATTGTGCTGTCCGCCTTCCTCGACAAACCCAGATTTAAGGCTTGGTTATTATATAACCAGTTTTAAATTAGGGTTTGGCCTATTGCCTGTAGGTCATGGGTCACATGCAAATAGATATTGATCAACGAATCGAAGATCCACTTTGTGATCTTTAATCGAGGATTAGCATAAGTAAATAAACTAACTCACAAGTCATGGCATTTTCAAACTAATATCGTTGCGATCGCTGCAGCCGCCAAGTTTACAGTGCCTTCTCTGCTTACCCACCCTTTTCCCACCCTGGCTTGTAAGGGATTCTTGTTACTGCTATTTACAGCATTTAATATTTACTTTAATATGCCTTGACATTGTATAACATTTGTGATTTGTTTTTGTTTTTTTTGCATTTCCTAATTATGTACAGCTTTGAGATATCTTTATATTATCAACTATGTAACAATAATTCCTATTGTCTTTTATCATTTACAAGTCTGCTGAATTCTGGTTTCCCTGTGAACATTTTATGTAGAAAGTTGTTGCTATTATCTTTGCAATTTGACAGTACTTTTACATTTTGTTTTCTTGTCAGTTATGAGATTGTTTTTCCCCTTTAGGGGGAATTTCATTCGTAGTGTTTTGAGGTTTGTAGTACATGCAACAGTTACCAGTGTTCTCCCCCTGGCTCAGCCTTGCCAATGATTCGAATATCACCTTTGAACTGTCACCTTTGACATTTCCACCGCTAGTTGTCAAAGGGGCAGACCACTGATCTCATCAGTAGTAGTTAATTGTGAGTTTTAGATTAGTAATAAATACCCCTACTGTACCCAAACACCGTCTCTGTTTGAGTGCTATTGTGCTGTCCGCCCTCCTCAACAAACCCAGATTTAAGTGAACGCGTACACAGTGACGCCATTTTAAACAATGACCTTTGGCCAGACAGTTTTCAAATATTCCCGTGGGCTCCCTAAGTACGTCCGTAATACTAACATTGGAAATATCAGCTCCCGTCTGCAGCCCCTTCAAAATATGGTCAGTGTACCATGATTGAAAGTTAGATTTCGGCGAGTTTTTTTCAAAAAATCTTCTGTATATATCAAATATTGCCAGGGCTTTTTGTTTTTTGGGTAACTGCAGCTTCTGGCGTGTCGATGTCACATATGTAATGATAACAGTGTCTAAATACCAATACATTGTTTTCCTTATTTTCAGTAACAATAGCAATAATCTTTGAGCGTGTGATGGCTAGTGGAAGTGTAACACTTGTTTTTAATGTATGAATTAGTAACAGACATTGAATAATAAAGTTGAAATAATTTCATTGCGTAGATATTTTGTTGTTTGCTGCTAGATTAGCAAGCAAACATTATAATTACGAAGTATACGGCGGAAATGATGTAACCTTTGATCTTAAATCAGTTGTAACTCCTTCTGTCTTTTACCACCACTGTATATGCAATTAGTTTAGAACTAAATTTGGTTGAATAACCACGCACATGTTGCATGTACATAACGAGCACTTATTGTGGGGCAACAAGTGAAGGAATACCATGATTTGAGGTAAATTGATCTATTGATTTTGTTTTTGTGCAATCAGCTACAACCCACATTCTATGGGCAGTGGACACATTATTGGTTTATACCTGTCAAGTATATTTCCAAATTATGACAAAAAAGTATATTGAGGTTATTGCGAGAATACTGCAAACTAATAGGGTTGTACAAACCTGTTTGTTTACCTATTCATACCTACCAGAATGTCTGTGGCTTAATTACAGATTACAGCCCCGAACGGAAACTATTAGGGAATATACATGGGTCCACAAAAAACACCCTAGGGCAGCATTCCCCATAGAAAAAGGCCTCGTAATTGAGGCCTGACCATTTCATTCTCACAAACGTGACAGAAATCTAAAACTACTTACCCACAAGGAGTCTTGTCCTGGGATACAACCACTCAGGCGACTCTTCAGGGACCAGGTGCCTCAAGAGTAGACCCCCCAAATTTAGGGAGGCCTACTAAAGTCTGAACAATAAAATAGGGCCCCAACAATTTTAATGCGTAAAAACAGTGTATTGCTGGGGTTCGATAGTGCAGATCAAAACCAGCAGCATCAAGCAAAGGAGGCTGGTTTCGACTGAAGACACTATCGTGTTAACACTTTCGCGCTTGGTGGTTTGGGCTTGGTCAACGAACAATGTCTGACCCGTCACCGCTGGTCCCAAGCTGTGGAGACCCTCCTCCAGCGCTTGGAGGTCTCTCAGGTAATACTTAATGAAGACATTATGAGATCTCTAGAACCCTGCTCAGAGCACCTGCTTGAGCGAGGCACCAGACATCAAAGCCAACGCGTTGGCCACCCCCAGCACTTGGTGTGTCTTCACCTGGTGACGTTCCAAATGAGTCGATGAAGTAGCCATTAAATTATAGGCTTCCACGATCGTATCAACAATCAAGTGGCTCTGTATGTTCCGCCTATAACAGACAAACATGTGCTTCTCACTGCCCCTAGACACCTTGGTGCGATCGAAGTACCAGCTCAGAGCTTGCACAGGACATAAATCCGTTCCTGACGGTCTTCCATGCCCACTAAGATAGTGAGGCGTGGAACGATGATTGGTTCAGGGTCACGCCCTGAGATTTGATTCTTGGCAAGGAAGCCCATCCAAGTCTTCAAAATAAAGGAGGCACATCTGTCACTAAAGGACAGTACCCCATCTCGGAGCTCCGCCTACCTGACACCAGAGCAAAACGAAAAACTGTTTTCATAGTGACATACTTCATGTCCGCCTTTTCCATAGGCACGTAGGGGTGGTGTTGTAATGCCGCTAGCACCAACAACAAGTCCCAGTCAGGAGGATTCGTTAGCCCCTTGGTGCGTGACTTCTTCGAGCTGAAAGACTTAAACAGTTGTATCATAATAGAACTCAAAGCCAGTTTCAGTCCAGCAGATTCTGATAGAACTAAGAATAAAACTGACCGATATCCAAGAATTGTCGATATAGATTTTCCTTGATCAAATAAATATAGGAAAAAATCAGCTACCTCGCTAATATATTGGTCACACCAATCAATGTACAGTCTCCATCTGGGTTCGTACAAATGTCTGGTGCAGTCTGACTGTACCGAAACAACGAACTTGGACAACTTTGCAGAAAGCCTTGCGCTTACATGAGTTTATTGACAGCCTCCATGCATTAAGATGGAATAGTGCAGGGCTCATCAGTAGAGTGCCGTCCGGCTGGGACAACATATCCAGAAGATTCGGCAACTCTACTGATGACTCTGGTTGGGAACCAGACCTTCACTGGCAAATTGGGCGCCACCAAATTCAGAATGCAGGTGGGCTTGATTCCAACACTTGGTGCACCAGTTGGATGGGTGGAAAGGCGTAAGCGTCCATGACTCCAAGAGATCAATAGAGTGTCCATGGCAAAAGCGCTCGTCTCCAGGAGGAAAGGCACGTACGTAGGGTGATTGGCAAACAGATCTTACCGAGGCCCATCCCAGAGATGAAAAAGACGATCCGCCACTCAGTGTTCTGGAACCGAATACGTCTCGAGAGGGCGTTTGTAGCGCTGTTGCATATCCCCAGTCCCTTGGACCTGAAGATCCATCCCTGGAGCGACGCATCTGTAATGAGAGTCAGTGAGTCGTCAGAACTAGGGGTATTCCCATTCCCAAGTTCCGAGCATCCTTCCACCAAAGGATTCATTTCTTGGTCTGATAATTGAACCCTGAACGTCAGGTTCCACATGTGGACCCTGTAGTCCAGTAAGCACCTGTGAATGGGACAAGACCAGAGAGCTGCTAACATAACCAGATGACGAACTGAAGTAATTTTGCATACAAGACGTATCAGTTGGCACATCAACGTCAATCCCATCGACAGGAGTTGGTTGAGAGGGGCGAACAAGCCCTCGCTCTGTGTCGAACTGCATACCCAGAAAAACCAGGATGTGGGACGGTATTGGGTTGAACTTGGCAATATTTTTTTAAAAAGCCCAACTCGTGGAGGAGCATTTGCATCAACCGCACATGCTCCACTAACACCTCCCTGTCTCGACTGTGTAATAACCAGTCTTCAAGTTGCTGGGTCACCTGTCTTAGCACCCTGGTAAACTCATAAACATTGCCCTCTAATGGGAATCTGAGATACCGGCTGCATGAATGGTGAATGAGGATGTAGAAATAAGTGTCGCTCAAATCAAGCAACGCCAGCCAATCACCCAAGTGCACTGACAGAAGTACCAAAGCCGACTAAGGTCTAGGACTGGATGCCACCTCCAAACTCTTGGGAATGAGGAAGATGTGGGAATAGAACCTTGGTAATGAATGGGGTTCTCCACTATGCATATCGCCCTTTTCTCCAGAAGGCTAACTACTCCCTGTCAGATCATCTCCGCCTTGACCTCGTCCCTCGGCAAAAGACCTGATGGAGGATGAGGAGTCATAGGAGGAGGAGACCGAAGAGGAATCAGATACCCACACTACACTACTACGAGCATTCAGGGATTATAAATTCTCCTGCGCCAAGCTGGTATGTGCTGCATAGGACGCGATCCGACAGGAAGGAGTAGACGGAGGTTTGGAGCTAGTATGGGAGGACAAAGACGGGGAGACTGAGCCAGAGGACTCCGGGGAGGGAGTCATACCACCGTCCATGTCCAGGCAGCCAATGAAACTTCGCTGCCCCCTGGTCCCCAGAAGTGCCAGAATGCCTACCGCCAAAGCCACGTTTCTTGGGCTTTTCCTGACACTTCCCGCTACTAGTCTTTTTCTGCCCTTTTCAAGGAGACCATGAGCACTTTGATCCTCACTGGTTTTGGTCCTGAGCAGAGGACTTACTACCTGAGCCGCCTTTCGTTTTTTATTTGAACTGTTGACCAGCCACCTTGGCCAACAGGGACAATAGCTTCAATTGGATATGCTGATCTTCAGCAATGGCCAAACAGTTCACCGCATCAGTTAACCGGCCATCAAATAGCCGGTTACGCCCCAAGGCCTTCTCCACAGGTGATCAAACTCATCTCCTGCTGGGGTAGGATAGGCGCACTGACTCTCGCTCAACTGAAACAGCTTCTGCCAAGAGGGCAATATGGAGTTGCATGATATCGCACATAGCGACTCTCTGCACAGCCAGCAACTGGCCCATCTGCCCGAGGATCAAGGTTCGTTGCTGAGCACTCAGAGGCTCAGAACTTAGCAAAGTGAGCTGATGCTCTAATGCCAAAGGAACCCAAGTTCTGCCTGTAAAGCCTGATGCACTTGTAGGCACTGGTGCCGGTCAAATGTCCACGCAATGTGGCCTTCCCGATATGCATTACCCTCCTTAACAAATGTATGGGTACCGGGATCGGGATGGGAAACCCATAAAGCTGTGGTACTACATGAGTGTCCCACACCAGGGACCTATCAATGGTTCACATAGCTCCAATGGGTATCGATTCACCCTACGGGAGATTGGGACAGGACCGCTCCAAAACCAGGATCAAGATGTTTGTCTTTTTCTCTCAAAGGGTACCAATCGCCCCCTCCATCGCCCTCTGGGCTCCCTCCATAGCCTGGAGCAAACAAGGTGCCCAGGGGAGTTGGCCAGCAGGCATGGTCTCCACGACGGCAGTGGGAGAGGAAAGCGCTGATGAAAATGGTTTCAAAGGCAACTCCCTTGCTGGCCCTGTACAAAACAATAGTCTTGTGCCAATCACTGCCCAGTTCACAAACTGCGACTTTAACTGCATATTAGTAAGGGTCAGCTGGGCTCCGGTTGGTTGGTAGCCTATGACTGTCCCGACAAAGTGGCTATGAGAGATGACAAAGCACTCCCCTCCCTGCTGGGGAAGTGGTAGCTGCACCCTGCAAAAGGGTTGTGTTCCACCCTGTACAGAGGTACCAACACTGGACTCCCCTCACAGAGCCACAAGTCGGGTCAGCCTGAGCCTGAGGGGGTTTGTGGGGAATTCGGAAGAGGACACGTAAGGCAATCCGTTCCAGGGAGAGGGTCCCCTTCTATAAAAAAAAGTGGATGGTCCCTTTCCCACTAATTTGAGTTGCCCCTCCCTAAAGGAGAGATCACCGGGGATGGGAAACATCTGACCCTAGTCCTGGCAGAGGAGGGACAGACAGTATCTCAGCCTGTGCCTGCCCACCTGACTGGCCCCAGGTACTCCTGCGTCGTGCCCTGCAACTGCAGAAGGGAGTTGACTTTCGAGGCTAGATTAAACATCCAGGCCTTCCAAGCCATCTCTTCACCATGGGAGAGCTAGTCACCTTGACCAATATCGGAAAGGGAAGGCAACAAGGCCTGTCGCTTTGTTCACGCAAGCAGCTGAAGTCTTGGTGGATTGAACCGGTTCAGTCCCTAAGGGCCATACCGATTCCACCTCGCTACTTGGTGTTGATGTCAGTGCCCCATTAGGAATACTCCGTTTACCGACATTGGTAATCGTGGTGACTGGCAACTCCGATCCGCTGGAAAAAGCGGTGGAACGGTGCCTGTCTCATTAACATCGAACAGGGAAACTAACTCCACATTGAGAGAATTTAGTTTAAGCAGGGAGTCAGATCGTGACACCTCTCGATCACTCTCAGTTCTCGATCGAAGGCGAGCCTCGTCTCGATTACCAAGTGGAGGGAGAGATTTTTCACTCATTGAATCAGACATTTCATCGACAGCTGTGGCTTTTACCAGCTTTCCACCTCGCCTGGCAATGCGACCACGTTTTAGGATCCCATTTATCGCAGAGACCCTCCAGGCAATAACCAGAGTCCCTAACGCAACCCAAACATGAATGGCAACATATGTGCGGATTCCAACTCAGCATTTTTTGATGGCAAGAGGAGCATGTTTTATGTCCTGACTTTTGCGTCGTAACATTCTTTGTCTATTTTAGAGACTTAGGGAATCACCAGTTAATTTGACCGAGGGGGTGCCGGTGAATTTCACATGTTATTGTTAAATAATCACAAGTCCCCCCTAGGTGTATATTAAAAATTGGGCTGTCCCCCCTTAGAAAAAGACAAAATATGGTAGCCCCCCCCCCCTCCCCCATGATTTTTTTTTAAACAATAAAGATTTACATTAATGAATCGTTGCATGCTTCCAGGTTCCAGCTCTTCTCAATGACCTCGTCACTACAGTTTAAGGAACTATTAAGTCATCAGTCTCTATTTCCTCTGCACTGTCAACAAGATCATCACCATCAGAGTCCTCTGAGTCAGTTTCGTCAGTGTTGTACATTCTGGTGTTTACAGTTTGTAAATGTTCAGTGATTTTATGTGTTTTTGCTTGATCTTTATATGATTTTCTGATTACATCACTGGTAATTGTTTTCATTTTGTCTTGTTTGTTCCCTTTTTTTGGTAGCTTA